AAGTGGAGGCCATGTGCCTTACTCGGCTCAGACTACTGTAACAAAATATCATAGACTAGGGGGCTTGAACAACAGACATTTATTTCTTATGGTTCTGGAAGCTGGAAGCCTGAGATTGGTTTCTGGCGAGGGCTCTCTTCTTGGCTTGCAGACAGCCACATTCTCACCATGTCCTGACATGGTGGAGAGAGAATGAACAAGCTCTGGTCTCTCCCTTCTCATAAGGACACTCATCCATCCTAAGGGCCCCACCTTCATGATTATCTCCCAAAGGCCCCATCTCCAAGTACCATCACACCGAGGGCTAGGGCTTCAGCTTATGAATGGCAGTGGAAGGATGACACAAATATTCAGTCCAGAACAACAGGGCATGTCACTCCTTGCCTCAGGTTCCTCCAATGGCGGAGAAAAAGCCAATGTCCTCATTCCAGCCGCTAGGCCCTACACCAGTGGTATCCATAGGGAGGGCACAGCTCCCTAGGGAACGCTTGGGAAATCGACGAAGGTATTTTCTGGTGGTCACAGAGACTAGGGGACTTTACAGGCACTAACTGTGGGGGACCAGGGATGCTAGTGGTCCTGCACAACCAAGGATTGCCCTGCATCTGCACGCCACTCTAATGTCCTGCCAGACATTCTCACGGGTCACAACCCTTTACTAATTATCTGAGCCTACAGTCTGTTTTACACAGAAGCACAAATGTACTTTTTCATAATATACTGAATTTTCTCCGAATGTAACTACTGTGTAAGGCAGGTAAGGCTATACTTCCTTTGTTTGAAACACTACCAAGAACAGTTCACCATCTTGGAAATCCAGTTGCCATGGCTATGGTGGTAAACTGTCCTGCCCTTGTCTCCATCTGCATCAACAGGCACAGCATTTGCTCATGGGGGGAGTGTCAGTGTGTGCCTGAGCAATTACATGTTACATCTATGTGATTAAAAATTACTTTCCTATTATTTGTTTTAGATTACCTGTTCGGTAATATGTTTATTTCTTTTTGAAACTGTGTATATGTAGTTTACTGACTGTACATTTTGTTTTAGTAAGCATCTTTATAGTAAATATTAAGTAAAGGAAGTGCTGGGTCCCTCCTGCCCTGTATGGCTGGCCCATCTCTCTCTGAGTTGATCTCCTTCCGCTACATCAACTCTGTGCTCCTCCTCTACCATGCCAGGGATACTCCTACCCTTTTTTTTAAGGACACTCTGCCTTTGACCCACTATGCCTGCTGTCTACAAGACTCCCTTGCCTCCTTGAGCTCTTGTTCAAATGACACCTCCTCAGTGGTGCCCTCCCTGTTTAAAACTGCAGACTCCCACCCCAACCTGGCACTGCCCATTCCATGTTCCCACTTCATTTTTTCTCCAAACCTCTCGTCACTACTAAGTAACTGATTTCCTGTTTTCCCACTAGAATGAAAGCTCTATGATAAAAGGTTTTTGTGTGTTTTGCTCACTTGCTGTATCCTCAGGACTTAGAGTAGCATCTGGATACCTTTATCATTTATCTATATTTAACAATTTAGAAAGATGTTGAAATCTTTAGTTATAACCACAAGATTAAAATTAAACTGAAAACTCAGGGTATCTACACATTACTATCTTTAATCTTTGTATAGAAATATAAGTTAAGGCCACTGGTATCCAGGGCTGAACTAAAACAAGCCAGTTTATTCTTAGAAAAACAGACTTAGATCATCATGAATACTACTGGAAATTATTAGGCTGGGCACGGTGGCTCACATCTGTAATCCCAGCACTTTGGGAGGCAGATCACTTGAGGCCAGGAGTTTGAGTCCACCCTGACCAACATGGTGAAACTCTGTCTCTACTGAAAATACAAAAATTAGCCAAGCATAGTGGCGCATGCCTGTAATCCCAGCTAGTCAGGAGGTGGAGGCACGAGAATCACTCAACCTGAGAGGCAAAGCTTAGTGAGCCAAGATCACACGACTGCACTCCAGCCTGGGCAACAGAGGGAAACTCTGTCTCAAAAAAAAAAAGAAAATAAATTATTAGACTTTAATTGGATTTCTCTAATTCTTCCTTTAAGTGTCTTGTAACTCCTCCTCCCTAATCAGTCACTGGATTCTACTGATTCTATTTCTGGCTTGCCTCTCACCCTTCCCATCCCTCCCCGCTTTCCAGGTCTGCTTCCTGTCTCTAGTCATCCCACACACAGCTGCTGGATTCATCGCAAAGCGAGCACCTGTTGAGTCACTCACCTGTTCAATCACATTAACAGCTCCCAATTTCCTGTTCAGTCAGATACAAATGCCTAAGTGCTCCCCTAAGGCTCAAGGTCCCCTTGTAACCCTCCCTCCCTCTACCTGGAGACGTTGCTAAGCTCCTGCTAAACGGGGCCAGCTTCTGCACCCTAGACCTGCTGCCTCCTTTGCTCTTCTCAAGGCCTCACTCCCGACTGAACTCAATTCATCCACCAGGGCTTACCTCCGACACCCCACTTCATAGAGCCTCCTGTCCTCCAAATGGATGTGGGCTCACAGCACATTACTGGTCCCTCTCATGAGTGGTTACAGGACTCGGCTGTGTTGTAGTCCTGTGTTCTTGTATTTTCACCAAGGGTTTGGACCATGGGGTTCTTGAGGATAAGGTCTGTCTTTTTCATTTTGGTGTCCTATAAAACAGGGGTCCCCAATCCCCGGGCCATGGACCCATACTGGTCTGTGGACGGGTCTGTGACCTGTTAGGAACCGGGCCACACAGCAAGAGGTGAGCAGTGGGTGAGCAAGCAAAGCTTCATCTGTATTTAAAGCTGCTCCTCGTCACTGGCATTACTGCCTAAGCTCCACCTCCCTGTCAGATCATTGGTGGCGTTAGATTTTCATAGGAGTGTGAACCCTATTGTGTACTACGCATGCAAGCAATCTGTGTGGCATGTTTCTTATGAGAATCTAATGCCTGATGATCTGTCACTGTTTCCCATCATGCCCAGATGGGACCGTCTAGTTGCAGGAAAACAAGCTCAGGGCTCCTACTGATTCTACATTATGGTGAGTTGTATAATTATTTCGTTCTACATTACAATGCAGTAATAACAACAGAAATAAAATGCGCAATAAATGTAATGCACTTGAGTCATCCCCAAACATTCCCTGCCCCCGCTCCCCCAGTCCATGGAAAAACTGTCTTCCACGAAACTGGTCCTTGGTGTGAAAAAGGTTGGGGACTGCTGCAATACAGTATCTTTCACATTCCAGGTTCTCTAAATACACATTCAATTGAGTTAAAAAGAGTCAAATTCAGGCGGGCGCGGTGGCTCACGCCTGTAATCCCAGCACTTTGGGAGGCTGAGGCGGGCGGATCACAAGGTCAGGAGATCGAGACCATCCTGGCTAACGCGGTGAAACCCCTTCTCTACTAAAAATACAAAAAAATTAGCCGGGCCTGGTGGCGGGCGCCTGTAGTCCCCACTACTCCGGAGGCTGAGGCAGGAGAACGGCGTGAACCCGGGAGGCGGAACTTGCAGTGAGCTGAGATCGTGCCACTGCACTCCAGGCTGGGCAACAGCACAAGACTCCAACTCAAAAAAAAAAAAAAAAGAGTCAAATTCTTTCAGCTCTAAGTTAGAGGAGAAAACAGGTTAACTCTTATGTTTGACTAAGCAACAGGACACAGTTTTGTTGGATATAGATGACGTTACTTGCAGAAACGAAGACTCGGAAAAAAACAACTTCAAGCATTATGTGCAGGGCAAAACAAAGCAGAATGAAGTGGCTCAGGGTGAAGATGCTCTGCCTGGGAACAATGAAACTGAAAAACATGCCCTAACATTCCATAGCCAAAGTGTTTCTCTCAATTCTTGTGTGATTTGCTGATTTTCATCTTTGGACAAAATAGGAAATCCTGAAGTTTCAAGGACTCTGTTTCATTTAAAAAACATTAAAAGGCTTACATGTGATGGAGATACAGTACAGATGACGTCCTTGGAAGCTGTCATAAAACACTCTACAGTCTTCCCGTGGCCACACGCTCCTGAGAGAGCTCGTCTTTGGGCTGCTTTAAGTCCCTGCTGATCCAAGCAGGGCCCATGTAGGTGGGGCAGGATGGCCTGTGGTAACCCAGCTGCCATCATCTATGGACGGTAACGAGGTTTGTTGCTGAATTCACAAGACAATGTGTGACCTTCTGACATATGCCAATATTTTTCCATCTAGCATACTGTTTTGGAACACTTTATTAAGGAAGGAAAAACATTGGCTGTGCTCATGAAAGTAATGAGTCACAGAGTAGTGACGAAAGAGAATGATGCTGTTCAAACCCGAACCTCAGGCCAAATGAGATTTATTACTAGACAGATTAAATAATATAGGTGACTCTGAAAGTCCCAAATCCTGGGATTTGCATGGCTTTATCTGGAAAAATTACTTTGGAAATCAAATACAATTTCCCAGCTATAGGACTTGACTCTGCTAGTTACCATCAGTAAGATCAGATCATAACATGGACGCATGGTATGTTAAGTAAGAAACAAGCTCAGTCTTTATTCCCTTCACCATAACAACCCAATAAAATGGTTAACTTGGATGAATGTCAAATCTTACAGCCCTCTATTATTTCAGCCTCTATAAAAACAAATGAGTAATTTGAGGTGTTGAGAAGATACCTTCTTGTAATTATGATTACAAGATTCTAATCATGAGAACAAATTTAGTGCAGCATGTCTTCATAAAGACCAACCAGCCAGAGCTATTAATAGAAAAGCCTAGAGCCATTTTAACATGAAGTCTAAACAGAAGCAAAAAAGAAAAGAAGATAAAACGTGCTTCTTTAACTGATGCACTTAGTGGATAACCACAGCAAAGCTATGAACATCCTTTGAGCAGAACACCTTTTCCTCTCTTGATCCCATTCTTCTTTATTTCTTATTTATTTTATTAGATAATGAGTAATGTTTTCTCTTTCTCCGAATATGCTTCTGTGGAACAAGCTAAGCAAATGTCCATGGCGCCCAAGGACCAAATCCAAATTACCTTCTTTTAAAGTCCATTTGATTGAGCCTGTCCTCTTGCTGACAGCATGTAAACTTCCATCCAGCGTTGACACAAACAACAAGGTTTCAGGAAGCGTCACCGTGCTGGTACTTCCAAAAATCTGCAAGGAGATGTAGAAGAATCTTCATGTTGATATGATTCTTCACCTTGGGCATGTACAATCACAGAACCCCCACCCCCAAGGTTATCCTGCTAAAACCCTCCATTTTACAGATGAAGAAATGGAAGGTGGAGAGCCTAAATTCCCACTCACTCAGGACTAGAACCCAGGTCACCTCATTCTAAGCAGTGATCCTGCCTGCAGACAGGCAGCCTCATGACCTCACATGACAAGGACAAGAATTCTGAAATAATCCATGGGCAGCCTCCGCTGAAATAAAGGGGCAAAGTATGCTCAGCTTTCTGACTTCCTTCTCTTGGGTCTATTCTATTCTCTAAAACCTGATCATCTCATAAGACGTTATGATAAAAAAGAATGCCAACACCCATGCATACACACACTATGAAATTTTAAAAAGCAAAGAATTAGGGGGAAATGCTTAAAGCGAAATAGGAAAAACAGCTTTCATTATACAAAGAATTTATAAAATAAAACACCAAGATTCCAATAAAGACATGTTATAAAAGTAAACGAATAAAAAGCATAACGCCAAAGTGGTCCTCACTTAGAATAAAAATAAAATTTAAATTAAAATGTAACTTTTTTCTCAGCAAACTTAAAACAAAACAAAAAACATTTGAAAGGAAATAGCCAAAGGCTGTGAAATTTCTCATCCATCGCTAGTAGCACTGAAAATTACTAGGATCATCTTTCTGGAAAATATAAAAGTGCTCATAGTTTTTGATTCTGTAATTCCACTTCTATACTCTAAGGAAATAACTCCAGAGACTGAAAAAGTTCTGCGCACAATGATACTTATGACATCCCATTTATAAACACAAAAACTGGAAAGAACCAAATTTCCAATAATATCTAAACGGCTAAGATAAATGAAGACATATGCTCAGTGAAATAATTATCACTAAAATAACACTTGGAAAAATCTACAATATAGAAAAATGCTGATATACATTATCAAGTAAATATAGAATCCAAGATTTGATATCCACTGTGGTTACAATTATACTGGACAGTTTTTTTTTTGGCCTGCCTGTCCTCTGGCTTTGCTAGGAATTATACCCTCATTCCACAGGGTTTCCATGGGAGCAGGTGTGTGCACACATGTACACACATGGACACATTTGCAGGTGACAGCTGGTAAAGTTTCCTGGATAAGATTTCCCTTTTGAGGTAGGGGTCCCTTCAGCAACCCCACCCTTGTAATGAGCTTTTCTCTCCCTTTGTCACTATACTATCCTGCAAATTAGCTTTTCCCCCGGGGTCTTCAATTGAAAAAAACACAGGCCAATGCAACTTGCCTATACTGCAACAGTTTGAATTCTGGCACAAATGCTATTTTTGAAACACAGAAGTATGGAGCATTAAATGTAAAAGGATTGGGGTTATTTGTGCATGGGAGCCTGTTCCCAGAAGGCCCGGCTACTCTCAGTAAGAGCCAGGATGCCTAACTAATCCTTCAAAGGGACGGCCCCACAGGCTCTCTCCGGGGCAGCCTGAGGTGGCAGGACAAATACTCCGGGATCCCGTATTCCTTTTCCATGGTGGAGACCCACCAGCGGAGGGAGTGAAACGGCTGCCAGAACTTTGCACAAGCTACCTCTTCGCTTTGCCCAGGGCCAGGGCCCACTCCCTGGAATGGGAGACAGGACAGCCAGCAAGCTGTGTTGCCAACTACCGAGTCTACTTTGTGCAAAGTCTCAAGTCTGAGGAAGAAGAGTGCTTTTAATTCTACCTTTGGAACTAGGAAATTAATCTCAGAGTATGAATCGGCTAGGAAAACGGAAGCCTCAAGGGTGGTATCTGCCCTAGCCAGGGATGCAAAGGTCACTGTTTGGGAGTGGTTAGAATTATTTCAGCCCAGAGGGTCCAGATGGTGACAAGCCACCTGAACCAAAGGTACCTGGGCCTGGAGAACTGTGGCCCTATGACAAGGTCACCGGGAGTTCATGAGTAAACTGGCTAAGTGAATTGGGGCTGTCTGCCACTGAGGAGGGGGAATGAGTGTGCAGCTTGGTGTGGGATGGCTGGATTATGTTAGGTGTGCCAGTCTGGAGGATGAATAAGTGAGAGGGCAAATTATGCATACCTGGGGCCAAGAAGTGGAAATCCCTGCTGAGCCCTCCTCCGGCCAAGAAGTAGAAATCCCTGCTGAGCCCTCGTCCACCCCTCAAAGTTCCCACAGGAATAACCACTCTGTACAACAGGTCTTGTTGGGGCCACACAAAAAATGAGTTAAACTCTGGGTGGCTAAAATGGAAATAAGGCTGGGCATGGTGTCTCACCCCTGTAATCCCAACATTTTGGGAGGTCAAGGCAGGCAGATCACCTGAGACCAGGAGTTCGAGACTAGCCTGGCCAGCATGGTGAAAACCCATCTCTACTAAACACATAAAAATTAGCCAGGCGTGGCGGCATGTGCCTGTAGTCCCAGCTATTCAGAAGGCTGAGGTAGGAGAATTGCTTGAACCTGGGAGGTGGAGTTTGCAGGGAGATTACACTGAGCCGAGGCTGCGCCACTGCACTCTAACCTGGGTGACAGAGTGAGACTCTGTCTCAAAGAATAAATAAATAAATAAATAAATAAATAAATAAATAAATAAGAATAAAGTGGGAATAAGACTTGAGAGAGCTCTGTGAATGTGTTTTCTGCCACATGGAAAAAGCTGAATGAGAAAGACACATAAACAGAAAGCAGCCTGAGAAGAAACATGGCTGAAAAGACTGGGAGAGTCCACCCTGGTTTCCACAGCTCCTCAGGCCTCGCTAAGTTCTTGCCCTTGTGCTCAGAGACACTTCAGTCCTTACAATAAATTCCCCTCTTTGCTTAAGCCTGTTGGAATTAGGTTTCTGTCACTTGCAACCCAAAGAGTCCCCACCACACACCCAATGACGAAATATGCAGATAGAAAAAGGGAAAAAAAGGGCCAGGCCTGTAATCCCAGCACTGTGGGAGGCCAAGGCAGGCAGATCACTTGAGGTCAGAGGTTCGAGACTAGCCTGGCCAACATGGTGAAACTTCGTCTCTACTAAAAATACAAAAATTAGCCAGGCGTGGTGGCGGGTGCCTATAATCCTAGTTACCCGAGAGGCTGAGGCAGAAGAATCACTTGAACCCAGGAGGTGGAGGTTGCAGTGAGCCTAGATCACGCCACTGTACTCCAGCCTGGGGGATACAGTGAGGCTCTGTCTCCAAAAAAAAAAAAAGAGAGAGAGAGAGAAAGGGAAAACAACACTGCAAAATTAGAGCAATATTTCTTCTCTCATTTTTTAAACTTCCAATAATATGATTTGCTAATCTGTAGTGAATTTTTCACAAAGTAGAAAGAAGACGGACAAGCTAGCAGGTAGCAGAGAAGCTTGAATTTAAAGCAGCTTCGGCAAGCGCCTTAGTTCCATGTGAAGCACTTTCCACCTCAGGACAGTAGGCAACTCAACCACCTTTGATCATTAATCTCCACCAAACAAGGGATCAGAGTTTCGAAACACAGGGGTCTCCCAATAAGATTGTATGCATCCAAGAATAAGAAGAGTTTGCTGTTATTAAAGCCAACAGTACAACCATAATGAACTAAATGCCCCAAGTATATTAATACTTATCACAGTATTAATATTTAAAAGGGTTAATATTTACTAAAAGATATCAGTGCTCCTTTGCTACTAGTGGGAGCACTAGTGGAAACAAAAGCCACCTGCCTTGTCTGAGCATCTTGGAAGCCATTGGAAGAGCAACTGTCTGCGGTTGGTTCACGGATCAAAATAAAACACTAATCACGGCCGGGAGTGGTAGTTCATGCCTGTAATCTCAGCACTTTGGGAGGCCAAGGCGGGCAGATCACCTGAGGTCAGGAGTTTGAGACCAGCCTGGTCAACATGGTGAAACCCTGTCTGTACTAAAAAAAATACTAAAACATTAGCCAGGCCTGGTGGCAGCTGCCTGTAATCCCAGCTACTTGGGAGGCTGAGGCAGGAGAATTGCCTGAACCCGGGAGGCGGAGGTTGCAGTGAGCTAAGATCACGCCATTGCACTCCAGTCTGGGTGACAGAGCAAGACTCTGTCTCAAAAACAAAAACAACAACAACACTAATCACATGACTAATTTAGTCTTGGAAAAATCTCACAAATACAAGGTTTAGAAAGAAGCTGAATTTGGTAACTGAGAATTCCGTCAATCACAATGTCTACAGAAATGTCACAAACTATTACAACTGGCAGGCTGCTCTCTTCTTAAGGCTCTCAATGGTACCAAATCAAAACTCCTGGGAGCCACTTGGAACAGTGTTATTCTCTCATAAGGCAACTAAAAATTACAAATTTTCTGGCTTTTTGCCCTCTGGCATTTTTAAAAGCATAAACATGCCTGAGTTCAAATGTAGTTGCTATAGCTAACATGAATTAAACATGTTTCCAGATGCCTTGTGTGATACTGAGCACAGCTGAGAACTATTTGTACCTGAACAATGAAAAACGCTGCTTCACAAAGATGAACTTGCGCCTTGTTTTTGCCCAGCCATTTCAGTCCTCAGTGCTCACTTTTCTCTACAAGCAACATACCCTATGGCACACGCACTGGTTTCCAGAGAGCCTGAAAATGGAAAGAAAATGTCGAGTCTGCAGATCTGTGTCAAGTTAACAACTATTTGGAATTTGATTCAGTTTTAAAACTAGTAGTTGGGAGGTTAAAAAAAAAAAAGTGGAATATACACTCCTGGCTTTGATGGTGACTTGTAGAAAGTAACCAATAGTAACTGTGGAGGGTGGGAAGGGTAATGGCAGGCATTTAGTCTATCCTAAAACTAAACATCCATTAGCTAATTGGTCCTCACAGACATCAGACTCTGTCAAGCATGTGTCACTTAGCAGGCTTCAGTGGTATAAGGGTCCTCACTGCAGCCGTACCCAGCTAAGAGTGTAACAAGAGTCTCCCTCCCATGAAAGCCAACACAAGACCAGCACTAGATCCTGATGTTCAATGTTCTGATTATAAAGCAATGTTATGGCTGGACGTGGTGACTCACGCCTGTAATCCCAGCACTCGGAGAGGCCGAGCTGGGCGGATCACTTGAGGTCAGGAGTTTGAGACCAGCCTGGCCAACATGATGAAACCCTGTCTCTACTAAAAATACAAAAATTAGCTGGGCGTGGTGGCGGATGCCTGTAATCCCAGCTACTCGGGAGGCTGAGGCAGGAGAATCGCTTGAACCCAGGAGGCCGCAGTGAGACAAGATCACGCCACTGCACTCCAGGCTGGGTGACAGAGTTAGACTCATCTCCAAAAAAAAAAGCAATGTTACACAAAATCCAGCAGCTTCCCCATTCATAAAATCCACCACTCACTCTGCATTTACTACAAGATGTAGAAGTGGCTATCAACTGCTTATGCAGAGATGATTGAAAGGCACATCACCAACAATTTAATCATTCCCTAATATTGTGAATTCAGCTGTTAATGCTCTTGCATTAATTAACTACTTACATATATTTCAGGTAAGAAAAAAATATTTTCTTAAATGCCTTCTGAAATAACTTCATTTAGAAAAAGTCTTCAGTAAAGAGAATTATGGACACGGGGCACATAGGTGTTCAAACAGCACAAAAACAAATGAAATGGCCTCTAACAAAAAACCCGCCAGTTTCTAAACCAGCATTTGGGACTGACTGGTCAGGCAGGGAGGCAAGCTCATCAGTGGCTGGAGAACAACCAGCAAAAAACCCACAGCTTCCTGGACATGGTGGCTCATACCTGTAATTCCAATACTTTGGGAGGCCCAGGCAGGAGGATTGCTTGAGCCCAGGAGTTTCAGGCCAGTCTGTGCAATATAGGGAGACCCCATCTTGACAAAAAAAAAAAAAAATTAATTTGCTAGGTGTGGTGGTTTGTGTATGCAGTTCCAGCTACTCAGGAGGCCAAGGAGGGAAGACTGCTTGAGCCTAGGAGGCAAAGGTTGCAGTGAGCCAAGACAGTGCTACTGCACTCTAACCTGAGCAACAGAGCCAGACCCTGTCTCAAAACAAACAAACAAACAAACAAAAAACACCAGGGCTTGATTTCAGCAGCCTTATCACCGAAGTTTTGGCTTGTTTCCACTTACCACTGCACTGTCGCCCCCTGCAATGATAAGTACAGCATGGAAGACCCTGCAAGCTCCTCTGAGGTTCAGAACATATGAAAGCCGAATGTTCCTTATCAGGGGTTTCAGAAATGCTGCTTTTGCCAAAGAAATGCAGCTTGTCAATTTCAGACATACATTTCAAGAACTGATTCCCAGGTTAACTGACAACCTGATAACAAGGGTCAGGGCTAGGCGTGGTGGCTCATGCCTGTAATCCCAGCACTTTGGGAGGCCCAGGCAGGTGGATCACCTGAGGTCAGGAGTTCAAGACCAGCCTGGCCAACATAGTGAAACCCTATCTCTACTAAAAATACAAAAATTAGCTAGGCGTGGTGGTGCACATCTGTAATCCCACACAACCAGGAAACCGAGTCAGGAGAATCGCTTGAATCTAGGAGGCAGAGGATGCAGTGAGCCAAGATCACGCCACTGCGCTCCAGCCTGGGTGACAGAGAGAGACTCTGTCTCAAAAAAAAAAAGGAGTCAGAAATAAGATCATTAAAATGGCATAGACTTTTCACCTCTAAGTCAGTGGGAGGATACAGTGTCATGCACACATGTTCCATACCCACAGTTTTCCAGTGATCTACACTTAACGAGGTTTAAAATCTCTGTTTCATTTACAAAACTGGAGCATCTTACCCCTGCAAAAAAAAAAAAAAAAAGGCGTGTACACACAAACACACACACACAGACACAGAAAACTTACGATTGTGAACTAGAGAATCACACACTTCTCAGATGGCATGTAAATGGATCAAGTCCAACCCAACTGTACATCCCTGTCTCTTTTTTCTTCTTTTTTCTGAGACAAGATCTTGCTTTGTCACCCAGGTAGGAGCACAGTTGAGCGATCAGAGCTCACTGCAGCCTTGACCTCCTAGACTCAAGCAATCCTCTCCCCTCAGTCTTCCAAGTAGCTGGAATTACAGGTGTGTGACACCAGCCTGGCCAATTTTTAAATGTTTTGTAGAGATGAGAGTCTCACTACGTTGACCAGGCTAGTCCTGAACTCCTGACCTCATGCAATCCTCCCACCTCAGCCTTCTGAGTTGCTGAGATTACAGGCATAAGCTTAAAATAAAATAAAATAAAATAAAATAAAATAAAATAAAATAAATAGTTATCTGGTTGACTTACCTGATAATTAAAAAAAAAAAAAAAGACTTAAAATAAAAATCTTTTCTACAAATCTTCTCCCCATCCCACCTCCACTCCAACAGACCACAGAGTTTATACAATAATCTGGCTAATAACAAAAAAAAACTTTTTTAGGAATATCACACCAATCTCTAGAATTTGTTCAGAGGCTGGTTTTTTTCTGTGTGGTGTTTTTGTTTGTTTTGCTAATAGTCCTCTCTGTTCATTGGATTACTGTGATATTGCATAATCCCAACATTAGTTGTATTTATTTAAGGTTAAGAAAGCTGCCGGGCACAGTGGCTCACACCTGTAATCCCAGTACTTTGGGAGGCTGAGGTGGGCGTATCACCTGAGGTCAGGAGTTCAAGACCAGTCTGGCCAATGTGATGAAACCCTGTCTCTACTAAAAATACAAAAATTAGCTGGGCATGGTGGCAGGTGCCTGTAATCCCAGCTACTTGGGAGGCTGAGGCAGGAGAATCGCTTGAACCCGGGAGGTGAAGGTTGCAGTGAGCTGAGATTGCGCCACTGCACTCTAGTCCAGCCTGGGCGGCAAGAGCAAAACTCCATCTCAAAAAAAAAAAAGAAGAAAGAAAGAAAATCATTCCTCCAAACTAAAAATACTTACATAATTTGAGCAAGGACAATAGAATATCATACAATACCATGTGTTCCTCAGTTCTTGGAACCTGCAACCTGCCAACAACAGCCAGGCTGCCTTTTGCAGTGCAGGGTTCCTTGCCAGGACTCAAATCTACTGGATGGTTGGCACAGAGGTAAAACAATACATTGGCGTAAGTGTTCCTTTTAGTTGGCTAATGAATACACACTACAGTATTAAAGGTAAGACTTGAAACAGGTATGCAAGTGAGAGAAGGATTATATAACAAAGATTTTCAAGAAATTTTGTTTTACTGCCCAGTTAGGACATATGAAATCTTGAGAACAATTAAAAGTACATGTCGCTAAATGTAGAATAATGATTTCAAGTGGATTAGAATGTGCTAAGGAATTAGAGCTTATAATTATTAACCTTGGCAATCATGCTTGGAGGTGGGAAGGGCATCCTACACAGGGGAATGTGCCTATGCCAAAGTACCTATCAAAAAAGGCAAGATAAGGTTGCCTGCACACACATGTGGATGTGGTGAGGGGTGCTGTCTAGATGGATAAGAAAGTAGGGGCTAATAATGAGTAATGACAAATAGACTGGATTATTCTGCTGGCTATAACCGGCTGAAAGCCACAAGATGGATCAGCTGATTTTAAGAAATACCACTGAGACACTTTCTGGCATGCCATAACAGGACAGCAGTCCTACAGGGTTTCTTACACACACACACAAGCGCTCTCTCTCTCTCACTCAACCTGTGCAGTAACACCAATATAGCAGGAAGAAGTACCTCAAAATGGTATTCTACAACACAGACCCTTGAAAAGGAACTAAAGGATATTCAAAACAAGGACATCTGTGTCTACAATTCTTCTACTTGCAGCAATATTATCTATCTCAGACTATAAACTCAAAGCCTGGCCATTTGTGATTCTCTGCTTTATAAAGGCAGTCAGCAGAGTACCGCTTTCTAATACTATTTTATCACATGGTAGGAGACTGTCCCATCATGGCCAAAAAGACAAAAAGAAAATTCACCAAAGCAGTAGAACGCTGAAATCAGTGCCCAGTAGGTGCAAAGGCCCATAACATAAAGCTCTCTCAGTGATTAAAGCAAGCCCTCAGAGTAAAAGTCTCACAATGATCAGGAGGGGCTCAACTCTCAGCTCACAAAGGACTGACTATCTTTGAAGTTATGTTAAGTAAAGACCTAATTACGACAGATTAAAAAAAATTGTTTTGTTTTGTTTGTTTGAGACAGGGTCTTGCTCTGTCACCCAGGCTGGAGTGCAGCAGCACAAATCACAGCTCACTCCAGCCTCGACCTCCTGGGCTCAAGCGATTCTCCCTCCTCAGCCTCCCAAGTAGCTGGGACTACAGGCATGCACCACCATACCTGGCTTTTTATTTCATTCTTTTGTATGTTGCCCAGGCTGGTGTTGAACTCCTGGGCTCAAGCAATCTTCCTGCCTCACCTCCCAAAGTGCTGGGATTATAGACTTGAGCGGCCAGCCTACACAAAAGATTTTTATTCAAATCAAGCCCTGTTCCCTGACCCTCATCTCATTTACACATACAGCAGCAAAGTACTTATACCCAAATATGAAGATTTCTATACAGCCACCTGAACAGTGAGTAACAGAAATTTCACTACTTTTAGTCTCCTGTCTATGGAAGGACATTCAGAACAGAATTAAAACATCAGTCATAGACACA